AATTCTAAAAATTGAAAATTATGTCAAAAAGTTAATTTTAGTGGATATAAGCATTTAAAATGCAAAGTGCTTTAATAAGTAGATGCTATTTCATTATAAGCTTTGAGTTATGTAAATTATACTCAGTCTTTCAACTTGACATCACTAATGCCATGGCAGAAATGACACTGAAGGAAAACCTTGTGGGTGTGGTTTCAGAATTCTTTAATGATCACCGTGGCTTAGTGTTTGTCACTGTAGTGGCCAGTTACCTCTGGCATCCAGGAAACCCTGAGAGGCTTGGTGGCAGATTCTGTTCTCAGTCTTGGAGTCCTTCTCACTTGGCTTATGCTGGTCACACCAGCATGGTCTTTGGTGATGTGATCACGAATGTGTGTCATCTGCAGTGACCTGGTCAGGGTGATGACTAAAATATTGTTCATAGTTGGGAAATGGGTTATTGGACACACTCTGTAATGAGAATCAAGTAGTTCCTGCCCCAGAAAGCCTCTGGACACCTCACCACGATCCTCTGTATTTTTCATACACAAAGGCTTCCAGGGTGAACACAACGTGACTTAAAAAAAAGAGACTTATTTATTTAGAAAGACAGAGTTACGAGAGAGAGGGAGATAGGGGAAGGATGAGAAGAGAGAGAGCAAGAAAGAGAGATCTACCCATTAGTTCAAGCCATCCCCAGATGGCTACAACAGCCTGTGCTGGGCCAGGCTGAAGACAGGAGCTTCAGCCTCCCACGTGGGTGGCAGGGCCTCAGACTCTTGGGCCATCTTCTGCTGCTTTTTCCAAGGCCTTTAGCAGAGAGCTGGATCACAATTGGAACAGCTGGAATGAGAACCACCATCCATACAGAGTGCCAGAGTCACAAGTTGTGGCTTTACCCTTTGTGCCACAATGCATGCCCCAAATGGCATACTACTAAATTAACAACTAGTGGCCACAGAAATGTCTAGATTTAGATAAACTCTATCCAAAATAGAGCACCAAACAGAGATAACTAAAATTTCTGTGTATCCTGAGCTCTCTCATCATCAATCTAAAAATCTTTCAAGGCAGTTGGAATTGTATGATGGGTGTTCTTGTTTAAACAAGTGGGAGAAAGAGACAGAGAGAATTCTGTTCCGTACTGCAGGGAGGCTGCTGTCTGAGCAGCTGGCCCACTTTAAGGACAAAATCGGTTTTCTAAATGTGTGCAGTTTACGTAATGCACATCTCAGAGTCTTTCCCATGAACAACTGCAGTTAAGTGCCCCAGATAGTGCTGATCCAACATCCACTGTGGCAGAGCTGTGGTCAGGAGGTCAGCTTCCAGCTTCCGCACCTGCCGTGGGGGGAGATGAGCCTGGTAGGCTTATGGATGAGTGTGCATTTTTAAACTTATTTTTTTTCTTTTCTAATAATCTAGATGTACTTTCACTGAACATACAATTATTGTCTTCTGTCCTGGGCTGCCTAGCTCTGGGCAGTGCTGAGGGGTGGGACATATTCCTGCCTCTGGCACCTAAGCTGGACTGATGGTTGTTGGTGTCTTTCAGTAACCTGTTGATGCATGGAATCAACTTTCCTCTCCTTGGTCTTACTATGTAGTTGACATTCACCCCACCTTAAAAAGAAGACTGTTTATTTGAAAGTCGAGGTTACAGAGAGAGAGAGAGAGTGTGTGTTATCTGGCAACAGCCAGATAACTAATGCAGTTGACATCCACACCCCTCCTTAAAAAAAAAAAAGATTATTATTTGAAAGTAAGAGTTACAGAAAGAGAGAGAGAAGAGAGAGGTCTTCAACCTTCTGGTTTACTCCCCAAATGGTTGCAACAGCCACATAACTAGTTCAATCTGAAGCCAGGAGCCAGGAGTTTCTTCCAGGTCTCTCATGTCAATGCAAAGGTTCAGGTACTTGGGCCATGCTCTGCTGCACTCCCAGGCACGTTAGAAGGGAGATGGATTGGAAGTGGAATATCCAGGACTTGGAGCCCGTTTGGAAGGTCAGTGATATAAGTAGTAGCTTTACTCACTATGCCTCACTATGCCATAGCTCCTGCCAACCTTTTTTTTTTAAGATTATTTTCCCATTTTCTATAAGATACACTACTCATTTAATTTTTAAAAAAAATTTTAAAAAAGATTTATTTATTTATTGGAAAGTCAGATATACATAGAGGAGGAGAGACAGAGAGGAAGATCTTCCGTCCGATGATTCACTCCCCAAGTGAGCCGCAACGGCCGATGCTATGCCGATCCGAAGCCAGGATCCAGGAGCTTCTTTTGGGTATCCCACACGGGTGCAGGGTCCCAAGGCTTTTGGCTGTCCCCGACTGCTTTCCCAGGCCACAGGAAGGGAGCTGGATGGGAAGTGGAGCTGCTGGGATTAGAACCAGCGGCCCATGTGGGATCCCGGCGCGTTCAAGGTGAGGACTTTAGCCACTAGGCCATGACGCCAGGCCCTGCTCATTTAATTTTAACAAGTTATAGGAACATCATTGTCTTTTTAAAAAATAGTCTCCTCTCCCCAGTAGATTGATATTGTGGTCGTGTGGACAGATACACACATCATTCCCCGTAGTCCCTGGGGGAACGCCTGATGGTTTCTCTGAACTACAGATCTGATTGTGCCATGCAGAGGCCCCAAAGCTCTGCAGGCTGCCTGTGCATCCAGTTTCCACTCAGGACTCCCACTTATCCCGCATTCAGCAACCCCTCTTTGTGTCCACTTCAGATCCCCACTGCCTAACGATGCATCCATGACCAACGTCTAACTTCCGCCTTTTTTATGTGATCACCTCCCTTTCAGGTTTTCTTTTCGGGGGGGGGGGGCGGCGGAAGGGAGACTTTCCTCCCGCAAGATCCCACTTCACCTCCGCGGTTTGTAGATGTTTCCCTCATTCTCTGCTTGCCCAGTCTGTTTTCACTATGATATTCATGTCCCGGAGATGCAGGAGCACTGCCGCCTCAGGTCTTCTATGTCACCTTACAATCCCTTCCTTAGACAGCCACTAATATGAGGATGTGTAATTACCGCTGTGTGGTACATGGAAGGCGTGGACGATCGACTGGGGAGACACCATGGTGTCATGAGCAAGGTGAGGCCTTGGATATCGACATGGTGGTTCACCTTTCCACGTGGGGGAGGCGAGGAAAGCGCACGCATGTGTAAGATGTTGCTTATGCTTACTTTACATTGATCTGTACATTGTTTTTCCATTTATAAAGTTCTCAGGAAACCCGTGAGAGCGATCACGCTGTCCTCTGATCACAAGTGGCCTGACACTAAATACATCTTTTTTTCCTCCACCTCTTCTTGTTTTGATGAACCTAAGCTAACCGCTGAGCTCTGGGACTAACTGCAGGGCCTGGTGAATGTAACAGCTGTATACTGCTTGTCTGAGAATTGTATCTGATGTTGTTTCTGAATGGGGTTCAGTGCAAAATGTTTGGTATTTATGATATCTTTAGTTTCCCCCTGGAACAAATAACATGCTAGTGTTGTATTACGTTTAACATATGATTTTTTTTTTTGTAATAAAAATAAGTATATAAGAGTGATGGCCATGGTAAATAACCCCAATAAGAGAGACAACTTGGCACCTTGTGGGCGAAAGACCCTAGGACCTGCCAATCGATTGGATGTGGCCAGGCAGGGAGAGGGGACAGGATTTTGGTTTGGTTTCTGAATTTCTAGAACCCAAATCTAGATCCCACCTAAAAGAGAGAACTGGCTGTGGGTCCTGGTTATGTGTTTGAAGCTATGGCTGCATTCACAATCCATGGAAAAGAATGGCGTAGACTTTGATGGATCGCTTAGCCCAGTTCTTCCTACAGTCTGGTTTATCCACCTGACCGCTTATACTTGTACAATAACAGCTGATTCTGAATGCAGCCCTGTCTCCCACCTGCCTTTCTGACAAGCGAGTGGGGTCTGAGCCCGACACTAACTTTGCCTTTCAACTTCACCTCACCTCTCAAGGTCCTTGGCCTTTGTGGCCTCCTGTCCTGGACAGGAATTGTCTCTGCCTGTACCATCTTGCTCATCTGTCTCTCTCTTCCCTTCTCACCTTACATATCTTTAGTCTTAAAACTGTTTTCTCCAGATGACTTTGGTCCATTAAGACCTCCTGTTTTGTCCTTGGTTTCTGAGAACACCCTAAAACATGACTCCAACCCTCCAATTCTGACATTTTTTGATTTCCTATTCAAAATCAGTTCTCTCTGTCTGAGACCCTTTTTGTTTCTGTGGGCCTCTCAGAACTCATAGGCCCATCTACTTTGGTATCTGATACACAAGGCAGGCCTGAGCCATCGCTAAGCACCACTTGGCACCTGCTGTACTTTTGAGCAGAGCTGCAGCTACCTACAACCAGAGCACAGCTGTGCATTCTTCCGGGCTGCTGGGCTGACACATACACCATGAGCATCTTTAGTAACACATTCACTGCCAAAAACATAATGTCACACATGGCTTAATGCCTAGTGCCTTGAGCAAGTGTTTGCCCCACCAGACTTGGGGACAGGTGTCCAGGGGGCCCTTTTTTGACAGGGCTGACTCTGGGGGGTTTGCAATGGCGTTGGAGATCTCAGCACTTGGAAGATCTGGTCTTCCTGCTGATGTCTGAGCTCCAGGACATGGGGAGGTGATGGAAGCAGAGATTCTTCTCTTGGGACTCCTTAGAAAAGAAGTTCTGATGACACAAAGGCAGTGGAAGAGAAATGAAGCAAGTTAGAGGTGAGCAGGGACGCCCACAGTGGGAACAGAGCTCATGGCAGGGACAGAGTTCAGCCAGGAAGCCGAGGAATGTATCAGGTTGCAACTCAGTGGTTGAGTCCAAATAACAAGTCTCAAAATGGGACAAGTTAGAGTCAAGTGTGCCTATGGCCAAATTTTCAGACTTTCATTTGTAGTTTAAGGTGGTCTTCTGAAGTTTGTCCATTGAACCTCAGGCAAAGCAGTTCAGGCAAAGGTAACACCCTTTTACCTACTCTTTGCACCTTAAATTCTTTTTTCTCCCCTCAGGGGAGAGTGCAAATACAGTCCCCCAATACCACAAATTATGCAGTGGAGTTTCCCACATTTGGGGAAATCTCAGGGGTCGGTACATCCCAAGTACAATGAATGAGCCTTGCCTTGGGAAATCCACCTGCATGACCATGGTATCTCCCCTGCCGTGTAAGGATCCACCTTTAATTCTTAAATAATGAGAGAGAGCGAGAGTGAAACAGAGAGAGATCTTTTATCCTAGACAGCTGAGACTGGGCCAAGCTAAGGTCAGGAGCTTAGAACTCTGTGAATCTTTCATGGGTGCCAGGGTGCCTGCTGTTCCCATGGTACTCATTAGCAGAAAGCTGGACTTAGAAGTGGAGCCCACACTCCGTAGCATGAGATGTGTCGGACCAAGGAGAATCTTCACTGCTGTGTTGAATGTCCCTCCCGCTCCCTTCTTTTTCAGTCTCAAATGAGTTTGGCAATCAATGCTAAGATGTTTATATTGTAGCTAGGGCTGGCTGGCATTCCAAACTTCCAAATAACCTTGACTTGATAAACAAAATTCTCTGTTTTTTGATCTGGGTTGTTTGTCTAACCCAAGCAGGTGGGAAACATTTAAAAATTAGTTTAAAAAAGCTATCTGCAGACTTTCTGCTTTTTCCTGGGCAATGTGGCAGGTAAAGTCATTTTACATTGGAAAAAGGAGATATATAATCATTTCATTAAGTTCAAGATTTTGATCAATGCATAAATGCCATCAGAAAAATAAAGGTGTGGACACGACGGCATGGTGAGTTCCACTGAGACCTGTAGCGATGGCACTCACTCCATCTAGGTGCTGATTGGATTTCTGGCTGCTCCACTGTTGATGCAGCTCCATGCTAATGTGCCTGGGAAAGCAGTGCAAGATGGTCCATGTGCTTAGGCCCCTGTACCCACTTGGGAGACCTGGAAGAAGCTCTGGACTCCCTGGCTTTAGCTTGGCCCTTGGCTGTTGGTGCCTCTCTACCTCTGCCTTTCTCTCTCTGCAATTCTACCTTTCAAATTATTCAATACGCCTTTTAAAAAGAAAAAGGAAAAGGAAAAATACACAGTAGTCTTATCTGAGGTGCTAACTTTTAAATAACATTTGTTAATATGAAAAGATTTAGTGTATTTTCTAGGTACAATTCTAAAGGGATAACCGTACTTTCCTTTGTCCACCTCTCCCTCCTTCCCTCCATCCCTCTCTCAATCTCCTTCCTTCAGAGTTAACTTTTGTAAATGCTTATCTACTTCCCCCCATTATTAATCTTTCCATGAACTCTTTCCTACCTTTAGCCATCATCAGTTAATCAAACCCCAGTGCTTTGGGTATCTTATTGCTCCTGGGTGTCTTGGTTGCCATGCAGCTGCTCTAAGTTACAAAACTGCAATCTGAAATTTTTGTTCTCTCCCTATCTTGGCTGAAAGACTATAAAAAGTATGACTAAGTGAGCTCTGGTCTCCACTGTGTAGAGCAGGTGCATCTGATGCACCTGTTTAGGCTGAGTCTGCATGGTGGAATCTGTTAACAACTGATATTTAGATTCCTGGGTGCACTTAGAAGATCATGCAGGGAAGAGTGTGATTCTGCAAGCTCATTATTCATTGGCTCCAGTTTGCTCTTTGATGTGGGCATGTGGGTGTCTTTGTCACTTGACAGGCAACATTCCACCTGCAGGTGAATTAGAGGCTCTGAGTCAGGGGTAAAGAGAAATGTGATTGGCACCATCAGGTTTCCATGGTGAGATAGTGCATCCTAGGAAAGGATTCTCAAGTGCTCCCATGACTGTGCAAATGATTTCGACTACATTCAGTTCCATGTTGACTCATGTTAAGATTTAGAGATTTTAATTTCCTAGAAGCCAACAGATGTGCTTCTATCAGTTTCAACATGCAGTTTGTTGGAGTTTATAACTGTTGAAAACACACTTCACACTTCTCATCAGAGAGCCGTGCTTTACAAATGGAGCTGCTTCCCTTTCCTTGAACACTATTGCTTTAATCTTCTTATTATCCTTACTCCGGAGAGAGTGCCTGTACATGCAGCCATCCTCCTCTGTGCGCAGAAGGTTTAAATAAATCATTTTAAAGATTTATTTTTATTATTTTTTTATTGGAAAGGCAGATATACAGAGAGGAGAGACAGAGAGGAAGATCTTCCGTCCAATGATTCACTCCCCAGGTGAGCGCAACGGGCCGATACTATGCCGATCCGAAGCCAGGAGCCTCTTCCGGGTCTCCCATGCGGGTGCAGGTTCCCAAAGCTTTGGGCCATCCTCAACTGCTTTCCCGGGGCCACAGGCAGGGAGCTGGAAGGGAAGCGGGGCTGCCGGGATTAGAACCGGCGCCCATATGGGATCCCTGGCGTGCAAGGCGAGGACCTTTAACCACTTGCGCCACCGCGCCGGGCCCTAAATAAATCATTTTAAAGAAATATTTGAATTATCCTTGAATTGGATTTTTTTTCCCCGTAGGATTGCCTCAAGTCTTGTATTAACAAAATAGCAGGTAGCACCTCATCTCAGATTTTCGGCGTCATGCATTTTCTTCTCCAACACGAGGTGTACTGCCTTTACCAACAACAAATCTGCACTGATGGATCATAGGAGTGTATACTTATGTAATAATTATGAATAATTATATATAGTTTATGTGTCATTTATAAAATATAATTGCATAATAATAATAATTTTCTCATACCACAAGTTTCAATTACTTTGAATTTCTTGGGTGCTATTTGTATTTTGTAGGCTTCCAAACAAAAGACTAAAGGCCTTGCAATTAAAACAAGGAATCGCGCAATCCATTGTAGATCAGTAGTTGTGGCGTTAGAGTCGGTGTAGAATCCTGCGTATCAGTAAGTATTTTGTAGAGAGAATGCGTGTATGTTTAATTCTGTTTTGCGTGTTACCAATGAGTATGCTTGAGAACGGGTTTGTAAGTAGATTTTATTGCTATTTTTTTAAAGATTTATTTATTTACTTATTTATTTTTTATTGGAAAGGCGGATATACAGAGAGGAGAGACAGAGAGGAAGATCTTCCGTCCGATGATTCACTCCCCAAGTGAGTGCAACGGGCCGATACTATGCCGATCCGAAGCCAGGAGCCTCTTCCGGGTCTCTCACGCGGGTGCAGGGTCCCAAAGCTTTGGGCCGTCCTTGACTGCTTTCCCGGGCCACAGGCAGGGAGCTGGAAGGGAAGCGGGGCTGCCGGGATAGAACCGGCGCCCATATGGGATCCCGGGGCGTGCAAGGCGAGGACCTTAACCACTTGTGCCACTGCGCCGGGCCCATATTGCTACTTTTACAAACAGATCATGGTGAATGCTGTGTGACATTGTGACACGTTTATTATATTCGTGGTACTGAAAAAAAAGTTTTTTGAGGTGGGGAGCAGGTTACACCTGCTACAAACTTTTGGTATTCCGACTTTACTGAATAAAGCAACTTTGGTTTTTGCCCTAGTTATGATCTTCCTTGGGAACCAAAGCACATATTGTAGACAAAAATGGGGTGACCTCCATAGCCTTATCCCATCCTTCCGGAATTATCCAGCAGTTCCTATAACTGGACTCAGAGAATGGAAATTCCTGCAGCAAACAGCTTTAGCAGAGGAAGAGGCTGGCTGTGGTTTGCATTGCCACTTGGGATATTGGCATCCTCAGGGTCAAATCCCAGCTTCACTTTCAAATGCAGCTTCCTGCTAATGCGTACCCCGGGAGACAGCAAGTGATGATTTAAGTATGTGGGTCTCTGCCACCCTTGTAGGAAAACAGATTGAGTTCCTCGCTCCTGGCTTCAACCTGCCCCAGCCTGGGCTGTTGAGAACATTTGGAGTGTAAGCTAGCAAACGGAAGATCTCTGTTAGCACCTACGTTCCACTGCCTTTGGCCTGCTTCAAGCCACGAGAACTCACATCGAACCTGGTCCCCAGTTGCAATTGCCCAGGCCTGAGGAGGGGAAAGGATGCTTCATATTCCGCACCGGAGCCAGGGTCCAGGTGGCCCCGGGGCGGGGACAGAAGCAGCATCCACTATCTTCCTGCCGCAGCCTGCCCTTGGTTCTTCCTCAGCCGATGCGCACTCCTGCGTAGACCGGTTCCCATGGAGAGGCCGTCCCGGTGGGCCCCAACCCTCGCCTCTCCGTCAACATTGCCAGTTTCTGCCAGCTTCTGTCTGCCGGTCAGAAGAGCAAAGTCCCATTGGTACCTACCCGGGTCCGGGCTCCCGCACCGGCTCCCCAATCAAGGCTCTCTTCAGCACCGTCATCCGGACTGTCCAGGAGGGCGAGTGTGGGCGTCCCCGGGGCCGTGTGAGTCCACCAGGCTCCGCGCTGGACCGGGCAGCAGCGCACAGAGCAGCGCGAAGCCGCGCAAACTGCACCTGGCCTCCCAGGTGAAACTGCATCAAAGAATTCTTTGTTAGAGAGTCACGAAGCAAGCTCTTTTTCCAAGACCCAAGTTAAGCTTTTTTCCCCCTGTAGCAGACATATGTGAAAAAGATTTTACTTATATTGGAAAGACAGACAGAGAGAGAGAGAGAGAGAGAGAGAGAGAGAGAGAGAGAGAGAGACAGATTCATCCCACTAAGGCTGGGGCTAGGCCAGGCTGAAGCCAGCGGTCTGGAACTCCATCTGGAACTCTACCCCCCAAAGGGGGTGGTAGGGGCCCAAACACTTGGGTGTCTTTTGCTGTTTTCAGAGGCACGTGAGCAGAGGGCTGGATGGGAACTGGAGCGGCTAGGACTCAAACAGGGCTCGTAAGGATACTGGCATCTCAGGCAGCAGCCTAACGAGCTGTGCTACAACACCCACCCTGCAGGTTTTTTTTTTTTTTTTTTTTTCCAGAGAGAGCACAGGGTTTGTGGAGGAAAAACTGGAGAAGAGGTGGCTGTGGAGGAAGTGACCTCAAGGACAAGCTTCTGAGGGGATGAATGATGTGCAGGAAAAGCCGGGAGAAGCATTCACTTTCCTTCTGGATGGGGAGACACAGGGGTAAGCAGAGCATGAATGAAACCATGTGCTGGCTTCCTGTAAGCCGACCCCACACATCTTTGGTGATATTCACAGCAATTCACGAAATACTGGTGGAAGTGAATTGCTGTGGAAACCCATGCAGGGCTTAACTCTGCACGGGCATGAACACAGCGAGAACAAAACCAGTAGAGCCCCAGACAGGAAGGCAGGGATTGCTGAAAGGCATAAGCCACTGGGAAGGAGCAGACATTCAGAACCTTGGTTTTAGATGTCATAGAAGGCAGGGGTTGAGCTGCATGTAGGGGCTCTCTGAAGGCAAAGGGGGCTCCCTAGCTGGCAAGTAAGCCGTCTGCAAAGAGAATTTTTTTGGAAAGGTCAAGCCCTGTCTCATACAAACCTCTGTACCTGACAGTTCATGTTGCAGGAGGAGGTGACTACTTCTGACTTTATGATTTGGAATTTCAAAACCCATAGGGTAAAAAATTAGCTTTTCCGTAGGACCTTAAATAGTCCAAATAGGCATTTGTCCTAGACAGGCATTTAAATCATCCACATCCCATACCAGACTGCTTGAATTCAAGTTCTGGTCCCATGCCCCGTTACAATGTTTCCTGCTAGTGCAGACCTTGCTCAAGTAGTCCGATCCTAGCCACACATGTGGGGGACCAGGGGGAGCTCCTGGCTCCTGGCTCTGGCTTGACTTGGTCCCAGCTATTGGATGGCTTGGAAAGGGGTGGACTGGCAATTGGGAATTCTCTGTCTCTCTGCCTTTGTCTTTCAGATAAAGAAAAAAATTGAAAATGAACAAATATTAAGTAGATAAAAGAGGATCTGCTAGTTGAATGTTTCACAAAAGTAGATCCTATGTTCTAGTAACGGTTGGAGCTTGGGGCTGAAGTGTAGAACTTTGGGTCAACTTGGGTTACTCTCCCCGGATGCACTTGGTGTTGTTTCATGCTGCACTCCACAGCAGCCCGTTTCTGAGACAATGACTAGGTTGTCCCAAAGCCTGAGAGTGAGCGGCTTCTAGATTTTGTCGTATTTTTAAATGTTTATGTATTTTTATTCCCATGAAAGAGACAGAATGAGAGAGAGCACGCACTCTTCCATCTGCTGTTTCTTTTCTCCAATGCCCACAGCAGGGCATTGGACGCCCTGAAGGCAGGGCACAGGAACAACACGTTGGAGGCAAATGTTCAGTATTTTGGACCATCGTCTGCTGTTTCTCAGATGTATCAGCAGGAAGCTTCATCAGAAGTGGCGGTGGGACTGGGACTGAAGCCTAGGCACTCGGGACAGAAGTACCGATATCCCATGCGGGAACCTGATCCGCTACACTACAGTGCTCCCCAATACAGCTTTACCTCTTACCACCCCTTCGAGTCCCCAACTCTGCACCTGTGAAATGGCAATAATTGTAATTTTGAGATGACTTAGCAAATCCTCAGTGTTCATTCTCATTAACAATATTAGTGGAAATACATGTAAGCCGTATCCTACCCTAATGGTTCATGATCTTCTGGGTTGTCAGACTTGTGCCTTGAAACACATATGGAGAATGAATAAGGATCTAAAGACAAGGAGAGTTTCTCCTGAACAGAGTTAGATGTCAGGAAGGCAGACAGGTGATCCCGCTCATTCACAACAGCCGCTGCCAGAAGGCTCCACCACCAGCCATCACTCTGGCTGAGACCCAATCGTCTGGGATCAGGGACCTTGCCATTTAAATTAAGTTTTGCTCAATTATAAATGCAAATATTGCTGGAAAAGATACTCTGGGAATGAGTAATTGTTCATACCTTGCAGTAGACAATTTTAAGCATTCCCTTCCTAAGATGACGGGCTTTGAGTAAGATTAGGAAGGGGAAAGTATGGAGGCATGGGTGTATTCGTCAGTTAACCGAGTGAGCCCATAACTTGTTTAATTAAATACCCGTGCAGGTGTTTCTGCGATGTTGCTAGTGTTAGCACCTACAACCAGTTGCCTTTAAATATAGGAGATTACCCTGGATAGTGTGGCTGGACCTTGTTTAATCAATAGAAGACCTAACAAGCAAACCAAGAGATGTCCTGGAGGAGAAAAACAGCACAAAGTCTAGTCTGTAGCCAACCAGTTGGTCCTGCAAATCTGACTGAAAATGGTTGCTACAGCTCCCACCTGAGCTTCCAATCTGAGCCTCAGTTTGGCTGCATGTTTCAAATGAGCTAACCCTCAAATGCACATGAGCCAATTTCTAAAAATAAAGGAAGTGTGTGTATATGTCCTGTTGGTTCTGTTTCTCTGACATATGGAGTACATTTTGGACATAAATCAGCACAAGAATTTCAGAATATCCAGTAGAGACCAGGGGAGAAGAGAGAGAACTAAAGAGATGTTGGAAGGAAACAGGCTCTTCTGAAAAGGTCACTAAATGGAAGCAGAACTTCCACAAGAAGTAGGAGCTCTCCAACTAATGCTCAACACCTAGTGAAGCTTACAGCTAGGCAGGTCCTGCTAAAGAGCATCCTCTTTGTTTCTCAGCATCTTCTGCCATGAGCCGGGGGCCCTCTCCTCTTGCTCCATGGCCCTAGCATTTGCAGAGGTGCCTCTTGCCTAGTGGCCCAGAGATTTCAGAGTTAGACGGAGCAGCTGCTGTGCCAGGATCAGTGTAAGAAAACTGGCTTTCCCAGCCTGAGACTCCCTGGTGACTCTGGGTGACAGGTAAGTGGTAACACAATGTAAGGGAAAGGAAAATCTCCTTTGACCTCTAAGGATTTCAAGTGAGGAGCCAGGACCTCCATGTGGGTCTCGCATGTGGGTGGCAGGAACCCAACCACCTGAGCCATCACCTCTGGCCGCCTGGCATGAGCATTAGCAGGAAGCTGGAACTGGGGAACCAGGCCAGGTAGCAGGTGTCCCAAACAGTGACCTAAACTGCTAGGCCAGATGGGACTCTATGTAGTCTTTTAAAGTCTCTGTTAAATCGTCTGTAAATTTTGGGAATAGAACGTGTCACTCACAGGGCTCTTTATTTTAAAAAAAGTTTATTTATTTGAAATTCAGAATTACGGAGAGAGAGGGAGGGAGAGAGAAGAAGAAGGAACAGCAGCAGAGGAGGAGGAGGAAGAGGAAAGTAAGAAAAGAAAGCAAGAGAGAAATAGCTTCTGTCTACTGATTCACTCATTCCTCAAATAACAGGAATAACCAATTCTGGCTCAGGTCATTGCCAGGAGGCAGGAGCTTTTCCAGATCACGCAGGTGGGTTCAAGGTCCCAAGCATTTGGGTCATCCTCCATTGTTTTCCCCAGGCATATTAACAGAGAGCTGCATTAGAAGTGAAAAAGCTGGGGCATGAACCAGGGCCTGAATGGGATGCTAGCATTGCATGTGGTAGATTTTTGAAAGGCTTGTCTGTATGCAAAATTTTGTGAAATGTGTCTAATGATATATAAAATATACAGATAGTAAATTTTTAAGGTTCTTTGCATTCATATAGAAAATATAAAAAGCACTCTAAGATAATTTAAAATAACTTTTTAATTACCTGGGAACATGGCCAGACCATCACTTTGCCAAAAAACAAAAACAAAAACCAAAAAAACTTTTGTATTTGAAAGACAGAACAATAGAGAGAGGAAAGAGGATAGGATGAGGGAGCGAGAAAAAAAGAAAAAGGGAGAGAGAGAGAGAAAATTTTTTTCATCTATTGGTTTATTGTTCAAATGGCTGCGGCAGCCAGATCTGAGCCAGGCTGAAACCAGGAACCAGAAACTCCATCTGGGTCTCTCACATGGATGACAGGGACCCACGCACTTGGGTCATCTTCCACTGCTTTCCCAGGTATGTTAGCAGGGGTCTGAATTGGGAGCAGAGTAGCTGGATTACAAACCGGTGGTCTGATAAAGAGGCTAGAATTGTAATTGGTGGCTTTGCTCACTGTACTACAATGCCAGCCACAGCCAGGCTATCACTTTTGGTAAGGTAATGCCTCCTCATTTTGCTACCACCTAGAAAAAGAATTCTAGATGCATTTAAGCATCACAATTAAAGCAAAAATACCCAGACCCTCTGGGTGGGCTGTAACACTGGCTATGCCAAGTTGAAGCATGTGGGACATCAGAAGGAGCTCCCTAAAGGTCCTTATTTTATCAATTTCCATCTGGCTCTCTCCAGTGCAGCCCTGCCTCATGATCCTGTGGTCTTCTACCCTCCTCCAAATGCAGCTGTTGTCTAGCATTGTGGTTTGGACATTATGCTCATGTGTGACAGGCTTGATCCCTGGGGAGATGCTTCTTGGGAAGTATTAGACTTCTCATAATGTGTGACCTAATGTGGCATCTTAGGGAAGTGGGAGTACACGTTAGGAAGGTGGTTCCTGCATGACTGCTGGAGTTCTGGAGAGAGGGTTGTTACCAAAGTGGAGTCTGTGCCCATCCACTATGCTTTTTGGTTCATCACTAGATCCTTCCTCTGAAAGCCCTCTGGTCATGGCACCTGCAGGTGGGCTTTCCTGAACTATAAGCCAAAAGAGTCTTTATTAAGTTGTTTCAGGTACTTTATTGTATAATAAAAACCTACCTCACCCCACCTGGGGATTTACCTCTTGCTTTCAGTATGAATGGAAAAGGCAGATGACAAATATTTATTGAATCAATGAATTCAGCAACCATGTGTTAGGTACCTCATGCATTGCAGGAACTATAGACGCATTGGAAACACAGCCAAAAGCATGATAGCATCAAGACTCCTTGACTTTGAGGAAATCTTATTCTAGTCAGAGGAAAAAGAGAACAACAGACAAAAACAAAACAAAACAAAACAAAACAGCCATCTGCAGCATGCCAAGTGGTAACAAGTGCTGTGGGTAAAAACAGCACGAAAGTGAGATGGGTGTAGGTGAGCAAAGACTAAAAGGAGAAGAATAAGTGAGTCCCGCGGACACTCAGCCGAAGGGCATCCAATGGAGGGAGTCCTAGCAGGAGTGCTCTGGGCCAGGGGTGGCCAAGTGTGATCCAGGACGACAGGAGGGCTGTGTGGA